GGCCTGGTGGGCTACCTGCTGCTGCGGACCCACGACGTGCTGGGGAACGGGAGAGAAAAACCCGTTTTAACCTTGATAAAAATAACCTGTCTTATTCTTTCCTTGATGTTTTTTTGTTAAAGAAACTCTGAAGGGTCTTATCCTGCAATATGAGCTCATCATAATGTCAAAAGCTCAAGTTTGAAAAAGCCTTCGAGTTTTACGGTACCGCTGCGCGTTAGGAACCTTTTCGCAGAGTGTGTTTTCAATCCCGGCCGAGCCGCAGCGGTGTGAAACGCCAGGCACTGCTCAGGGATCACATCCAGCGGCGCTTTGCTTCCCTGTGGCACCCCCAGCAGGGCCAGCACTGCCCACCAAACTTACCAGAAGAGCAATAACCCCCCCCTCAAATCCCTGTCATTTTATTTGAAAAGCCCGTTTGGACTGGGAGGGGGGAGCAGCCTCTCGAGCAGCCTCCTTGCTGCCCAAAAATACAGTGAAGCCAACGGCAGGACATGGAAACAGACACATGGTATGTTAAGTTAAAATTCAAAGAAAGCTGAAGAGAGAAAAAAAATAAATACAAATAAAGGAAGTCTTTGTTACCTACACGGAAAGTAAAGTTCAGAGTACATAAGAAGCACTGATTCATACCTGCCATTTAGTTTGGCCAAAATTGGATACAAAGTAATCTATTTAGGGTGTATTTGCCAGGGAAACTATATTCCTTAAATAAGGGGCTATTCTACTTTAAAATAGACACACATACAAACTAGCATTTGCTTGCTCAAAATTTAATCCTCGCTCAGAGATGCGCGTACTCCTCAAATGAGTCAATCTTTCCTGTTTTTCAGTGTTGGAAAGTCCACAGTATCATATCTAGTCTGCACCACCGTGTGTACCAGTGGCATTTCTGCCAAATTCTGCCCCCAAAACTTCCCTGTAAGCTATCGAGGATAAAGAACAGAGAGGGTTATTTTTATTCTGTATTATTCTTTATGCAAAAAGATTTCTTTTCGAACTGCACAGATGCAAGTAGAGGCCACGTTCTGGCCTACAAGAATTTTACATATTATGACAGAAGAAACAAGTGGAAGGAAATTTCCTTCATTTGTAAGCAAAATCCTATTGCCCTCTAGGCCACTGGAAAACATTTCTCATTCTCGCTTTTGCTGGTAAATTGCAAATTAATGAAGAATTATTTTTCTTGTTAAGTTTAGGTGGGGAAAGTGCTATTTGGACTTTGTTTTCCTAAAAAGGACTATGCGAACCAAACAAATGAACCGAAAAAGCGAACAAAAAAACCCAACACCCTCGGGAACAGTTCAGGGGCTCTCCATGGCTCAGGATGCTACTCTGGTAAGGTGATCTACAAATGAAATCCAAATATACATGATTGAACAAGGGCAGCCAGGAGAAAAATCAACAAATAAAGGTTGTGCAACCTTCCAGCAAACTTTCTGCATTTGTATTTAAGGTTGTGCTTTCAGGATCATTCCTGTGGCTTAAATCCTATATTAAGCAGTCCATATGTCCTGCCTCTGGTTTGTGCTGACAGTATCCATCTATCTTTTTTTTTTTGATTTGCTTGTTTTTACAAAAACAAAAAAAGCAACCAAACAACAACAAAAAAAAACCAGCTCTATGAAACAGCTTCCAGCCT